CCTGTCAGTGGGAGGTTTATAATACTGGCCGTGACCTATAGAGGAGACGTCTATTTCACTTCCGTACCCGTATCTGTTTTTCGTGATTATACTGGTTGGCATGCTATGAGTTTAATTAAGGGCACTCCATATTTACATACTGAGTTTATCTCATAGTTTTTCCTTGTCCACCATTTCAAGAAGCGAAACCGAGGATGGGGAAACCACGGGAAGTAACAAGTTAGAAGGCTAGCCATTTCGAGATTGATATAGATTCTAGAAATAAATCATGATCTTGTATTTGGAGATTTTAATTGGAGATTTATGATATTAGAGCAAATTATAAAATTTGATCTTCAGATTTTGATGGTATCAGATTGTGGTATGTTAAGTTCCGAGCCTTGTGCATTTGTGGGACCCTCTCACGAGTGGATGGCGTTTGTCGCACCTCGAATTTGGGTTTTGGGGCGTGACAATCTACCAATACCTAAGCTTGGATGGTAATTCATTGCTAAAATGTTATCTCAAATTCCTCTAATTCAATAGCTTGCTTGATCAATCTACTTGAACACTCTGGCCTTTGAAGTATCTATCTAAGAGGCTGATCTATAAGAACAATTATTGGGTGAGACTAGAAGTACGACCTTAACTTTGAAGTTGAGATGACAACTGCTAGTGTTGAGTTTTTGTAGTTTACCTTCATCTCTTACTAACACAGAACTGATTGCTTCATTTGAGATGTTGAGGTATAAATATAAAATTTGACCATCAAGAGTTTTGGTCAACAAAGGTGGTGAGCTAAGATAAGATTTAAACTCATCAAATGCATTTTGACATTTCGAGCTCCATTCAATTTGTTTCGGTTTATACATCTTGTCCTTCTAAACTACCGATCTCATAACTTTGACAAAGGTGAGGCATTTCTTGATTGATTTTGAGATAAATCTATGAAGAGCTACTATTCAACCTGTTAAGTGCTAAAAGTCTTTAAAAAGGATTTTGGAGGCTCCACCCCTTAATTGCCTTAATTTTCTTAAGATTAAGCTTTATTCTTCACCTAGAGACCATAAACACTAGATTCAACACCAAAGGTGCATTTAGCAAAGTTTACCTTCATTTTGTTTTTCCTCAAATTGTCATATGTCTCTTTTAAGTCAACCATATGGTCTTTCACCTTTAAGCTCTTCACCACAATATCATCTATGTAGACCTTCAAGCTTTTGCCTATATGAACTTGGAACATTGTGGTCACCATTTTATGATATTTGGCACCTGCATGTTTGAGACCAAAAGGCCTCATTACATAATAGTAAATCTCATCTCCAGCATAAAAAGAGGTCTTCCTTTATCCTCAAGGGTTGTAGGAACTTGATAAAAGCCCGAGTATAGATCTAGGAGACTTAGTTTTTCATTCCTTGAAAATGCTTCCATTAGTCTGTCTATGTTTGACATTAGATTGTAATCTTTCAGGCAAGCCTTGTTAAGGTTAGTATAGTTAATACACATCCTCCATTTACCATCGTCATCAATTTGCATCTCTTTAACCTTTTCAGCAAGGGTGCCCTTAATCTTGTGTTTTAGCCTACTATCAATTAGTTCAACTCCCATTGCTTATGGAGCACTAGATGTTTAAGGTTTTGGCCTTATGTTGAGTTTTTTATTTCTTTGAGGTTGTGATATCGACGTTATCTGTCTAGTTACTTCTTAGTTACCCTTCAATGTTGCTATAACCATAAGTATTGGGAATTTCATACAGAAGTGAAATTGTAAAACTATAACTAGAATCTCAATTAGTATTGGGTGATCATTCATAGAGTTGAAAGATGAAGCTATCTTCACTACCAAAAATTAAATTGAAGAAGTTAGATACATTCAACTTTCTCCAAATGCCATAGTGAGTGTGTTTAGACCTTCTGTCACACCTCAAAACCTAAATTTGGGGGCGAAATAGACGCCGTATACTTGTGGGAGAATCCCACAAATGCACAAGGCTCGGAACTTGCTAAATTCATTATTAACAGTTCACGTAAACTTAGATCAATAGTTCAAAATAAAATCTAGCTTACAAAGAATAATCTACAACTCAAAATCTACATCCAAAATACAATGGCTAGCCTTCTAGCTCGTCACTCCTTTTGCTTTCCCATATCTCGGGTCACACTACCTGAAATGGTTGACAAGGAAAAATCTGTGAGATAACTCAGTAAGTAAAATATGGATAGCCCTTAATTAAAATTTATAGCATGCCAACAAGTGTAATTAAGTATAAAGAAATATGGCTATAAGTACGGGAATGAAATAGACATCTCCTCTATAGGTCCTGGCTAGCGTTTATAAACCTCCCATTGGTGGGCACAATAGTAACCAATGTATTATCCCACTAGCAGGCATACAAGATGAACCGGTTCCTAGGAATACATGTAGACATGTGCTAGCGTTTATAAACCTCCCACTAGTGGGCATAGTAAAATATGACCATATTAGAAACAAAACCAGGTAAGAGTTAATAGGAAAACCATAATTTACAAATAATTTTCAAATCATCAGGACAATCAAGTAAACTCTAGTAGACATACTCAACTCAATGAAAATGATAATAATTTTATTTCAAACCAATCATGCTCGTGTTTGTGTAAAACGAGTTTAGTCCCGCCACCATTTCAAAAACTATCAAAAATATGCTTTCAAAAACCTTTACTTAAAATCCAAAGGCATTACCCTACTTTTAGTTACCTCACTTTGTAGGCATACAACAAGCAAGGAATTCAATAAATTAAGGTGCTTAAGGGGATTTAGAACCTAAACCACATTAAAGAATGAACAGATTACAAAATACTCCATTTAACTAAATTCATTTCTAATTCCAATTTCAAGTTTCTTAACCGAAGACGCAACTTCTCCTTACACATCCCAATCACCTTTACCCTTTTAAAATAGCTCCAAAAAGACCCTACATTTGGTAGTTTTACAAGGCAAATTTATCAGACTAGACAGTGGAAAATATGAGAAACCAAGGTCAAATCTACCCTAAAACAGCAGCATAAAAGTTGGGCAATAAGATGTAAATTTTTGCTATTTAAAACAATACCAAAATACTTGGAAAAGGCAGTAAACAACAAAAATTTTATGGGCAAAACAGCAAGAGTAAAACAATGTTAAAACAAGCTAAAACTAGGCAGCATTCAAGCAAAAAATGTAGTAGCAAAGAAAAGCAACCAAAACAAAGCAATAACAAGAGGTTTTGGAGTAGGAAAACAACAACTAAATATCTAGAAAATCATGATGTAATATGGCAGTAGAGAGAGTGGAAATGAAACAGAAAACAAAGCAAATTTTTGACAAGTTATGGTCAGATTGTGTGTTGGAATTTCCAACAGAATTCCCTCCCATAATGACTGATCTAAGTTGAGTGGTTAATGGATAAATTGTAACCCTATGTCTTAGGGCTCTACAACCTCAAGAATTACCTTAATCCGACATCTACAAAGAGAGTTATGGCCAAAAGACTAACATAGGGTCGGGCAACCAGTTAAATCTGCCTGCGGGAATCAAAATTGTAGAAGATTTGTCACCATGAAAACAACTGAATTGGGTTAAATGTCCAACATAAAAACTGTAGGGTTATTTCTTAGCTTTCCATAAAATCAAGAATGAACTCAAAAAAATGTCTACAAAAAGAGTTATGGGTAAATTACTATAGAAGGGTCATGTAGTCCTAATTTCTGGCAAGTAAAGGAAATCAGTTTTGGTGGTATTTATCATGGACAAAATCAAGGGAAAACTACAGAAAATTCCCAAAATTAAAAACCCTAAAGGATTAGGGTTAGCCCACTTCAAATCATAAAGGAAAAGATGAGTAATATGGTTGATTTCTTACTAAAAAGTGCTAAAAATGGTGATAGATAGCAACCCAAAACAGATCAGTAGATTGGAGGGTGCAGCAACCTAGATCTGAAATATTGTTCATGATTTTAAGAATTATATAACTATTAATCTCTATATCTTGCTAACAGAAGGAAGAAAAACTAAGCTCCTTACTTATTTCTCACGATGATGAGAGTGTTGGGCAACCTAGGGTTTTTGAGCTACAGAGCTTTGGGGAGGAGCTGAAAACACGTAAAAGACTGAGGAAGAAAAGAAAAAGATTTAGCCTTAACCCTTTTATCAACAAATTTCTCTTTTAACCCCTCTTAAGTTTGGAAATTTTAGCTATAAAATCTAGCAAAAATAATTTCTACCACATAAGTCCCTAACTTAAGTTTTAAGGTTTAGAAAATTTTGGGATATTACATACACATTTATAGGATCACCTTATAGATGTGTGGCATTTATTATTCCTTAAACTATGGGTTAGGCAGTAGCAAATATAGAATTGGAAGGTAGACTAAGTGTCACGACCCAAAATCAGGAGTGAAACAAACGCTGTACACTTGTGAGAGGATCTCACAAATGCACAATACTCAAAACCTACTTAATTCATATCTGGCAAATTCTCCAAAATAAAATCTAGCCTTTATAATCCACGCTTTTGCTAGGCCAAGAGTATACAAAAATTATACAACTTCATTAATAAAGTCATAACTATCTCTAAAGGGATTTAGTTTACAAAAGAATGATTTATATCTCCAAAATGTATGTCCAACATGATTAGTCTAGCAGACCTATCTTCAAAATGAATTAAATCCAAAATATAAGTGGCTACCCTACTAGCTTGTCACTCCCCTTGGTTTCCCACAGCCCTAGTCTTGTTACCTAAAATGGTGGATGAGGAAAACTATATGAGATAACTCAATAAATAAAAATATTGATAGTCCTCACTGAAATTTAATGCATGGAAGTAAACATTTTAATTTTTAACAGGAAGAAAAGCTCAATTATAAATCATTTATGCATATTGAAATTTATTTAGTGGTCCCCTTAATCAGTTATGACTAGTGTACTGTCATAGCTAGTTGGATAACGAAAATACCAATATACCATCCCACTGGCAAGATACTAATGTACTCTCCCACTGGCAGGATAACAGAATTACCAATGTATTATCCCATTGGTAGAATACCAATATACTCTCTCACTGGCAAGATAACAAAAATACAAAATAAACCGATCCTACAAATATACATGTTGACATGTGCTAGCGTTTACAACTCCCATTGGTGAGCTTTAAGAATCATGACCATATTTAGAGACAAAACCATGCAGAGTTAATAAGAAAACCCATAATTTACAAACCAATTTTAGATCATCAGAACAATAAAGTAAAATCCATGTAAGCATGCTCAACTCAATAAAAATAATAACAAATTCATTTCAAACCATGCATGCTCATGTGCAAATAAAAATTAATTTAGGTCCTACCACCATCTCAAAAATAGTTCAAAATATGCTTTTAAAACCTTAACCTTAAAATCCAAGGGCATTTACCATAAGTTTACTCACATTACCTTGTAGGTATACAACAAGCAAGAATTCAAGATCTCAAGGTGGCAAAGGTGATTTATATCACATCAAATGAATAAACAAGGTTACAACATACTTCATTTAACCAATTTGGTTCCTAATGCCAAAAATCAAGTTTCTACCCAAAGAACAACTTCCTCCTATACTTCTAGGTCACCTTTACCCTTTAAAACCTTACTAATATATTAATATGTATAGTCATACTTAAATATGCTTAAAACAACTCCAAAAAGGGCACTACATAATATTAGGTATTCCAAACAGATTTTTTGGGTAGAATAAGGTGGGAAAAATGTGAGAATCTAAG